ACTTTTTACATTATTAGCCCAGAAGGATTTTTGTGTTATTACATTCAGCTGGAAATAACTTTTGGATATCAGAACAAAGGGAAAACCAGCCACGTCGCAGACACCGACATCTTGCTCCTGGACAAGCTAAACACCTTCTTCACCCACTTTGAGGATAACACAGTGCCACCGACGCGTGCCACTCCCGACGACTGTGGGCTCTCGTTCTCCGTGGCCAACGTGAGTGAGACATTTAAGCATGTTAACCCTCTCAAGGCTGCCGGCCCAGACGGCATCCCTAGCCGCGTCCTCAGAGCATTCGCAGACTAGCTGGCTGGAGTGTTTACAGACATATTCAATCTCTCCCTATCCCAGTCTGCTGTCCCCACTTGCTTCAAGATGTCCACAATTGTTCCTGTACCAAAGAAAGCAAAGGTAACTGAACTAAATGACTATCGCCCCGTAGCACTATCTTCTGTCATCATGAAGCGCTTTCAGAGGCTAGTTAACGATCATTTTACCTCCACCTTAGCTGACACCCTAGACTCACTTCAATTTGCATATGGTCCCAATAGATCCACAGACGATGCTATCGCCATCGCACTGCACACTGCCTTATCCCATCTGGACAAGAGGAATACCTATGTAAGAATGTTGTTCATTGACTACAGCTCAGCCTTCAACACCATAGTAGCCTCCAAGCTCATCATTAAGCTCGGGGCCCTGGATCTGAACCCTGCCCTCTGCAACTGGGTCTTGGTCTTCCTGACTTGCCGCCCCCAGGTGGTGAAGGTAGAAAACAACACTTCCACTATGCTGATCCTCTACACAGGAGCCACACAAGGGTGCGTGCTCAGCCCCTCCTGTACTCCCTGTTCACCCATGACTCTGTGGCCATGCACGCCTCCCAACTCAATCATCAAGTTTGCAGATGACACAACAGTAGTAGGCCTGATTACCAACAATGATGAGATAGCCTACAGGGAGGAGATGAGGGCCCTGGCAGAGTGGTGCCAGAAAAATAACCTCTTCCTCAACGTCAACAAAACAAAGGAGCTGATAGTGAACTTCAGGAGACAACAGAGGGAGCATATCCACATCGACAGGGCCACAGTGGAGAAGTTGAAAAGCTTCAAGTTCCTCGGCGTACACGTCACTGACAATCTGAAATGGTCCACCCACACAGACCGTGTGGTGAAGAAGGCACAACAGAGCCTCTTCATCCTCAGGAGGCAGAATAAATTTGGCTTGGCCCCTAAGACCCTCACAAACTTTTATAGATGCACCATTGAGAGCATCCTGTCGGGCCCAACGCATCACCAGGAAGGCCAAAAAGATCATCAAGGGCCTCATCCACCCGAGCCACGGCCTGTTCAACCCACTATCATCCAGAAGGCGAGGTCAGCACAGGTGCATCAAAGCTGGGACTGAGAGACTGAAAAACAGCTTCTATCTCAAGGCCATCTGACTGTTAAATAGCCTGCCTCCACCCAGTACCCTGCCCTGACCTTAGTCACTGTCACTAGCAAGCTTTTCTAGTTTGAGAAACGGACGCTTCACAGGTCCTCAACTGGTAGCTTCATTAAATAGTACCCTCAAAACACCAGTCTCAACGTCAACAGTGAAGAAGCGACTCCGGGATGCTGACCGTCTAGGCAGAGTTGCAAAGAAAAAGCCATATCTCAGGCTGCCCATCTTAATGTTTTCTTTTTATTGGCCAGTCTGAGATATGGCTTTTTCTTTGCAACTATATTACTTTTAGATTTGTGTGAATTGTTAGATATTAATGCACTGTTGGAGCTAGGAACAGAAGGATTTCGCTACACCCGCAATAACATCTGCTAAATATGTGTATACGACCAATAACATTTTTATTTGAACAACCTCATGATGAGCACAGGGATGTCATGTAGTAGCCCTAACCTATCGATGTTGCATTGAGCTGGGTGAATAGAATATGAATGACTGTGATCCAATATGCTGTAATAGAAATAAGGCCATGATCATAATTTTTTTTTAATCATCCTCCCTCATTTTACACGACACCGATCGCCACTGAAGCTGGGAATGATTAGGTGGCCACAATGGTATGAGGGCCAGATTGGGAATTTAGCCAGGACACCGGGGTTAACACCCCTACTCAAATATACGGACAGACAAAGTATGCCTTCTTAACAGCGCCAAGTAGGCCGACAAAAACAACCATATGGCCTCAGCAAAGTTGACAGGACATAACTATACTGAGCAAAAATATAAAAGCAACATGCAACAATATTAACGATTTTACTGAGTTACAGTTCATATAAGGAAATCAGTCAATTTAAATAAATAAATTAGGCCCTAATCTATGGATTTCACATGACTGGGCAGGGGCGCAGACATCGGTGGTCCTGGAAGGGCATATGCCCACCCACTTGGGAGCTAGGCCCAGCCAATCAGAATTAGTTTTTCCCTAAAAAGGGCTTGATTACAGATAGAAATACTCCTCCGTTTCATCAGCTGTCCGGGTGGCTGGTCTCAGACGATCCCGCAGGTGAAGAAGCCGGATGTGGAGGTCCTGGGCTGGTGTGGTTACACGTGGTCTGCGGTTGTGATGCCAGTTGGACGTGCTGCTAAATTCTCTAAAACGACGTTGGAGGTGGCTTATGGTAGAGAAATGAACAATTACATTTTCTGGCAACAGCTCTGGTGGACATTCCTGCAGTCAGCATGCTAATTGCACGCTCACTCAAAGCATGACATTTTAGAGTGGCCTTTTATTGTCCCCATCACAATGTGCACCTGTGGAATGATCATGCTGTTTAATTAGCTTCTTGATATGCCACAACTGTCAAGTGGATGGATTATCTTGGCAAAGGAGAAATGCTCACTAACAAATGTGTGTACCAAATCTGAGAGAATAAGCCTTTTGTGCCAATGGAACAATTCTGGGATCTTTTATTTCAGCTCATGAAACATTTGACCAACACTTTACATGTTGCGTTTATATTTTTTGTTCAGTATAGATTGAAAAACAATAACTAGCTATGAATTCTGATTCATACACGATGTTTGGAGAAGGGGAGACTTGTTCCCTGAGACGTATGGCTATAAGGTGAATGCACCTATTTGTAAGTCGCTCTGGATAAGAGCGTCTGCTAAATGACGTAAATGTGTCTGTCTGTGTGGGGAAACAGTTTGTTCTAATCCAATCTGTGCAGCAGGCTCAACCAATATACACACCCTTTTCTTTACAGACAAAATAACTAACCAATAGTTGTTTAGAGCACATGGCGCTTCCCACTGTTTGAGTGAAAGAGATGTCAGCTGAAAATAATATTTTTTATGATCACTGATAATGGGGGAAAAATACTTGTCATAATCGTATTCGAAAAAATTCTCCATATCCATTAATACTAGTTTTGTCCGAGTACTCGGCACACCACTTCTAAATATATGTCAGAAAAAATAAAACATGGTTTCCTGTTCTTTCTTATATCTTTAAGCTATAGGACAGACACTTCAAAACAAACTTCCTTTAGATACATGTTTTTGACTATCTGTTTTTCCATGTATGAATCTGTTATTCAATGCGTTTCTATGGGCTAATAGCAGTAAGGCCAATTTCAATGTTCCTGGTGTAACTCGGACAGCACTACAGAGAGACAGGACGGACAGCTGATCGTCCTCACAGTGGCAGACCACGTGTAACAACACCTGCACAGGATCGGTACATCCGAACATCACACCTGCGGGACAGGTACAGGATGGCAACAACAACTGTCCGAGTTACACCAGGAACACTCAATCCCTCCATCAGTGCTCAGACTGTCCGCAATAGGCTGAGAGAGGCTGGACTGAGGGCTTGTAGGCCTGTTGTAAGGCAGGTCCTCACCAGACATCACCGGCAACAACATCGCCTATGGGCACAAACCCACGGTCGCTGGACCAGACAGGACTGGCAAAAAGTGCTCTTCACTGACGTCACGGTTTTGTCTCACCAGGGGTGATGGTCGGATTCACGTTTATCGTCGAAGGAATGAGCGTTACACCAAGGCCTGTACTCTGGAGCGGGATCGATTTGGAGGTGGAGGGTCCGTCATGGTCTGGGGCGGTGTGTCACAGCATCATTGGACTGAACTTGTTGTCATTGCAGGCAAACTCAACGCTGTGCGTTACAAGGAAGACATCCTCCTCCCTCATGTGGTACCCTTCCTGCAGGCTCATCCTGACATGACCCTCCATCATGACAATGCCACCAGCCATACTGCTTGTTCTGTGCGTGATTTCCTGCAAGACAGGAATGTCAGTGTTCTGCCATGGCCAGCGAAGAGCCCGGATCTCAATCCCATTGAGCACGTCTGGGACCTGTTGGATCGGAGGGTAGGGCTAGGGCCATTCCCCCCAGAAATGTCCTGGAACTTGCAGGTGCCTTGGTGGAAGAGTGGGGTAACATCTTATAGCAAGAACTGGCAAATCTGGTGCAGTCCATGAGGAGGAGATGCACTGCCGTACTTAATGCAGCTGGTGGCCACACCAGATACTGACTGTTACTTTTGATTTTGACCCCCCCCCCCCCCCCTTTGTTCAAGGACACATTATTCAATTTCTGTTAATCACGTCTTTGGAACTTGTTCAGTTTATGTCTGTTGTTGAATATTGTTATGTTCATACAAATATTTACACATGTTAGGTTTGCTGAAAATAGTTTATCCCCCAGGGTGTCACCTGAAAATGGGTCTCCTAGTCAACTGTTACACAATTTCACACATCCCCCACGGTGTCACCTCTAGATCGGTCCCCCCAGTAAACTATTACACATCCCCAGGGTGTCATCTCCAAATGGGTCCTCTATTAAACTATTACATATTCTTCCAGGGTGTCGCCTCTGTCCTGTATTTACAACTTCTATGAGGATCCTATTGCTAAATTAATTATGTTTTCAAAAACACGTGTGTTCTACCATTTAAATACCTGAGTTTTATTTCCTTATTTAAGTATAGACTTTTTAGCTGTGGTGTGAACAATGCAATGGCATGAACATGGGTCACCATGGAGTTTCAGACAGACACATCGGCGTGTATGACGGCTTAACGCTCACCTCACCTCTGCTCTTTTGAGTTGTCAGGGTTCTAATTATGTATCTTGATGCTGAGCCATCATGCCCCCTTTGGCTCCCTCACCTATGCAAAGTATACTATAAAATATATTAATATATTTACAAATATCATAATATTCATTAAATACAGCCCGTCTGGGAAATGATAACAGTTGGGCTATTAGCAGCTCTGTATGTATGTGGCTGGATGACATCCCAAAGTCTCCATATCCATATTGCTGATTATTTAACTTCACATTCACTCTGTGTGTACAGGTCTGAGGTTCTATATCAATCTGACCCCAGGACAGTTTTAATATGATAAACATTATGTGAACTGCACAGCTCATAGAGATCCTATTAAATTACTTATTCTACTATTCTAATTGCTAATTTAATACAGCCATCCTAATTGTGTCTGGTCTGGGACCATATTCACAAAGCGTCTCAGAATAGAAATGCTGATTTAGGACAAGTATTGCCTTTTAGATCATAATAAGATATGGACAGTGTGGACCTGATCCTAGATCAGCACTCCTATTCTGAGACATGTTGTAAATATTGGCCCTGTTCTCTCTTTCTCTGTAGGGATTACATCGAAAAATATGAGATTAAGGGCCTGATCCAGGAACAGCTCAACTCCATGTCCAAGTGAGTGATCGCTCTTCAACACACACACACACACACAAATGTCAACGCTACTATTTAAAGCATTTGTCAAAAATAACGACAACCTTATTTTTTCACACATCATGAGGTGACAGCAAAATTTGGCGTCAGCATGTCTGTCACACACACATGCACTCGCATCGTCTGTGTGAGGAGCAAATGTAAGACATCCAGATTGCGCAGCAGTGGAAGCCAGGTTTCCTGGTATTCTTTTTGTCTGGATGTCCTGCGGAGTTGTTTGTCTGTGTGTTAGTTTGTGATTGTATCTTTGTGTGTGCGTCAGTGTCAGTCTGTGGTTGCTCTTAGTTAACAGCCTGAGAAGCCTAATCTGTGTCTGTGTCTGTGCGTGTCGTTGTGTTGTGATTCTGTGCTCCCTGATTGGCTCCCCAGTGACATGAAGAGCGTCCTGCTTGATCCCGAGCTCAACCTGCTGCAACGCTGCCTCCTGGTGTCTCGGTGAGTGAGGGAGGGAGTGGGCATCACTGCAAAAAACTTGTCCTGTTCTCCCATCTTCCTGTCCCTGTCTACATATCCACACTAGCATACTGCTTATTATGAAGCAATTTATTGGGTACACAGCCTTTATTCTAAGTGGTGGGCTAGTATGAACATTGGAAGTAGCCTTGCTGTCCCCTCAAAACACACCCCACACCCCTCCTTATGCTCTGGGGTGAAGTTTAGTCTAGGTACAGATCTAGGATCAGCTTGCCTTCCCCTAATCCTAACCTTAACCATTAGTGTGGGAAATTCAAAACTGACCCAAGATCAGCATCTAGGGGCAACTTCTCCGTACACCCCTCAGCACTGGTTGGCACTATTTTTATTTGTCCCTCTGCAGGTTATTATAATTGGGCATTGAATTGTGAGTCTTATGCCTCCAGAGATATGACAAGGGAAATATGTTAGTAGTATAAAACAAGAGTAAAATATGAACACTAGAAAAAACACGTGACCAACCTTGACTTTAGTGCTTATTTGACACACACAGAGGTCTATAGAGCCTGTCTGCATTCCTGATTTTTGTAACGGTTACCTGTGTATTTGTATTTAGTAAGGATCCCCATTAGCTGCTGCCAAGGCTACTTTTCCTGCTGTCCAGCAACATTAAGGCTGTTATATACAGTTTAAAATATTACATGACATTACATTTCATAACACTTTTCACGATACATTGTGTTCCCTCAGGCCACTACTCTACTGTCACATATCTACAATCTAAAATCCATGTGTACGTGTGTGTAGAGTGCATGTCTTATCATGTGTATGTGTGTCTGTGCCTGTGCGTGTCTTCACAGTCCCTGCGGTTCGATAAAGTGTGTTTTTATCAGTATTTTAAATCTGATTCTACTGCTTGCATCAGGTACCTGATGTGGAATAGAGTTCCATGTAGCCATGGCTCTATGTAGTACTGTGCGCCTCCCATAGTCTATTCTTGACTTGGGGATTGTGACGAGACCTTTGGTGGGATGTCTTGTGGGGTATGCATGGGTGTCCGAGCTGTGTGCTAGTAGTTTAAACAGACACCTTTGTGCATTCAGCATGACAACTTCTTACAAAAACAAGTAGTGATGAAGTAAATCTCTCCTCTACTTTGAGCCATGAGAGATTTACAGTGCATTCGGAAAGTATTCAGACCACTTGAGTTTTTCCACATTTGTTACGTTACAGCCTGATTCTAAAATGGGTTAAAAACATGTTTTCCCTCATCAATCTGCACACAACACCCCATAATGACAAAGTGAAAACAGGTTTTTAGACATCTTGCAAATTAATACAAAATAAAAAACAGATACTTTATTTACGTAAGGATTCAGACCCTTTGCTATGATTGGAGTCCAACTTGATTGGAGTCCACCTGTGGTAAATTCAATTGATTGGACATGATTTGGAAAGGCACACACATGTCTAAAGTGAGGGGAAAAAAGTATTTGATCCCATGCTGATTTTGTACGTTTGCCCACTGACAAAGACATGATCAGTCTATAATTTTAATGGTAGGTTTATTTGAACAGTGAGAGACAGAATAACAAAAAAAATCCAGACAAATGCATGTCAAAAATGTTATAAATGTATTTGCATTTTAATGAGGGACATAAGTATTTGACCTCTCTGCAAAACATGACTTAGTACTTGGTGGCAAAACCCTTGTTGGCAATCACAGAGGTCAGACATTTCTTGTAGTTGGCCACCAGGTTTGCACACATCTCAGGAGGGATTTTGTCCCATTCCTCTTTGCAGATCTTCTCCAAGTCATTAATGTTTCGAAGCTGACGTTTGGCAACTCGAACCTTCAGCTCCCTCCACAGATTTTCTATGGGATTAAGGTCTGGAGAATGGCTAGGCCACTCCAGGACCTTAATGTGTTTCTTCTTGAGCCACTCCTTTGTTGCCTTGGCCGTGTGTTTTGGGTCACTGTCATGTTGGAATACCCATCCACGACCCATTTTCAATGCCCTGGCTGAGGGAAGGAGGTTCTCACCCAAGATTTGACGGTACATGGCCCCGTCCATCGTCCCTTTGATGTGGTGAAGTTGTCCTGTCCCCTTAGCAGAAAAACACCCCTAAAGCATAATGTTTCCACCTCCATGTTTGACAGTGGGGATAGTGTTCTTGGGGTCATAGGCAGCATTCCTCCTCCTCCAAACATGGCGAGTTAAGTTGATGGCAAAGAGCTCGATTTTGGTCTCGTCTGACCACAACACTTTCACCCAGTGCTCCTCTGAATCATTCAGATGTTCATTGGCAAACTTCAGACAGGCCTGTATATGTGCTATCTTGAGCAGGGGGACCTTGCGGGCGCTGCAGGATTTCAGTCCTTTACGGCGTAGTGTGTTACCAATTGTTTTCTTGGTGACTATGGTCCCAGCTGCCTTGAGATCATTGACAAGATCCTCCCGTGTAGTTCTGGGCTGATTCCTCACCGTTCTCATGATCATTGCAACTCCACGAGGTGAGATCTTGCATGGAGCCCCAGACCGAGGGAGATTGACAGTTATTTTGTGTTTCTTCCATTTGCGAATAATCGCACAAACTGTTGTCACCTTCTCACCAAGCTGCTTGGTGATGGTCTTGTAGCCCATTTCAGCCTTGTGTAGGTCTACAATCTTGTCCCTGACATCCTTGGAGAGCTCTTTGGTCTTGGCCATGGTGGAGAGTTTGGAATCTGATTGATTGATTGATTGCTTCTGTGGACAGGTGTCTTTTATACAGGTAACAAGCTGAGATTAGGAGCACTCCCTTTAAGAGTGTGCTCCTAATCTCAGCTCGTTACCTGTATAAAAGACACCTGGGAGCCAGAAATCTTTCTGATTGAGAGGGGGTCAAGTACTTATTTCCCTCATTAAAATGCAAATAAATTTATAACATTTTTGACATGCATTTTTCTGGATTTTTTTTGTTATTCTGTCTCTCACTGTTCAAATAAACCTACCATTAAAAGTATAGACTGATCATGTCTTTGTCAGTGGGAAAACGTACAAACTCAGCAGGGGATCAAATACTTTTTTCCCTCACTGTATATGTAAGGTCCCACAGTTGACAGTGCATGTCAGAGAAAAAACCAAGCCATGAGGTCGAATGAATTGTCCAAGACAGGATTGTGTTGAGGCACAGATCTGGGGAAGGGGACCAAAAAATGTCTGCAGCATTGAAGGTCCCCAAGAACACAGTGTAGCCTCCATCATTCTTAAATGGAAGAAGTTTAGAACCACCAAGACTCTTCCTAGAGCTGGCCGCCCGGCTAAACTGAGCAATTGGGGGAGAAGGGCCTTGGTCAGGGAGGTGAACAAGAACCTGATGGTCACTCTGACAGAGCTCCAGACTTCCTCTGTGGATATGGGAGAACCTTCCAGAAGGACGACCATCTCTGCAGCACTCCACCAATCAGGCCTTTATGGTAGAGTTGCCAGACGGAAGCCACTCCTCAGTAAAAGGCACATGACAGCCCGCTTGGAGTTTTCCAAAAGGCACCTAAAGGACTCTCAGACCATGAGAAACACGATTCCTTGGTCTGATGAAACCAAGATTGAACTCTTTGGCCTGATGCCAAGTGTCATGTCTTGTGGAAACCTGGCACCATCACTACGGTGAAGCGTGGTGACAGCAGCAGGGACTGGGAGACTATTCAGGAATGAGGGAAAGATGAACAGTGCAAAGTACAGAGTTCCTTGATAAAAACCTGCTCCAGAGCGCTCAGGATTTCAGACTGGGGCGAAGGTTCACCTTCCAACAGGACAACGACCCTAAGTGCACAGCCAAGACAACGCAGGAGTGGCTTCAGGGCAAGTCTCTGAATGTCCTTGAGTGGCCCAGCCAGAGCCCAGACTTGAACCCGATCGAACATCTCTGGAGAGACATGAAAATAGCTGTGCAGCAACGCTCCCCATCCAACCTGACAGAGCTTGAGAGGATCTGCAGAGAAGAATGGGAGAAACTCCAGAAATAAAGGTGTGCCAAGCTTGTAGCGTAATACACAAGAAGACTCGAGGCTGTAATCGCTGGCAAAGGTACTTCAACAAAGTACTGAGTAAAGGGTCTGAATACTTTTGTAAATGTGATATTTCGGTTTAATGTATTTTGATAAATTTGCAAAATAATCGAAAAACCTGCTTTGTCGTTATGGGATATTGTGTGTTGATTGATGAGGGAAAAACAATTTAATGCATTTTAGAATAAGGCTGTAATGTAACAAAATGTGGAAAACGTCAAGGTGTCTGAATCCTTTCCGAATGCACTGTACATACATATTATTAATGTTACCTCTCCGTCTACATTTAAGGGCTAGCCGTGCTAACCTGTTCTGAGCCAATTGTAATTTTCCGAGGTCCCTCTTTGTGGCAACTGACCATATGACTGAACAGTAGTCCAGGTGCGACAAAACTAGAGTCTATATGACCTGCCTCATTGATAGTGTTGTTAAAAAGGCAGAAAAGCGCTTTATTATGAACAGACTTCTCCCCATCTTAGCTACTGTTTTATCAACATGTTTTGTCCATGACAGTTTACAATCCAGGGTTACACCAAGCAGTTTACTCACCTCAACTTGCTCAATTTCAACATTATTTATTACAAGGTTTAGTTGAGGGTTTAGGGTTTAGTGAATGATTTGTCCTAAAGGCAATGTTTTTAGTTTTTGAAATATTTAGGAATAACTTATCTTTGCCACCCATTCTGAAACAAACTGCAGCTCTTTGTTAAGTGTTGCTGTGATTTCACTCGCTGTAGTAACTGATGTGTATAGTGTTGAGTTATCGGCATACATAGACACACTGGCTTTACTCAAGGCCAGTGGCATGTCATTAGTAAAGATTGGAAAAATGTAAGGGGCCTAAACAGCTGCCCTGGGGAATTATGTTGGAGAGGCTTCCGTTAAAGAACACCCTCTGTGTTCTGTTAAACAGGTAACTCTTTATCCACAAAGCCATAACACATATGTTTTTCCATCTGTGGACTATGATCGATAATGTCAAAGCCACACTGAAGTCTAACAAAACAGCTCCCACATTCTTTTTAGCATTTTCTCTCAGCCAATCATCAGTCATTTGTGTAAGTGCTGTGCTTGTTGAGCATTCTTCCCTATAAGCATGCTGAAAGTCTGTTGTCAATTTGTTTATAGTAAAATAGCATTGTATCTGGTCAAACACAATTTTTTCCAAAGGTTTATAAAGGGTTGGTAACAGGCTGAATGGTCGGCTATTTGAGCCAGTAAAGGGGGCTTTACTATTCTTGGGTTGCGGAATTACTTTTGTTTCCCTCCAGGCCTGTGGGCACACACTTTCTAGTAGGCAAATAGGAGTGGCAATATCGTCCGCTATTATCCTCAGTAATTTTCCCTCCAAGTCGTCAGACCCCGGTGGCTTGTCATAGTCATATTTTTCACCTCTTCCACAATCACTTTACGGAATTCAAAATTATAATGCATGTCTTTCATAATTTGATCAGTTATACTTGGATGTGTAGTGTCAGCGTTTGTAGCTGGCATGTCATGCCTAAGGTTTTTGACTTTTTGCCCAGAATTTAATTTAAAGTGCTCCAAAGCTTTTTACTGTCATTATTTATATAATTTATCTTTGTTTCATAGTGTAGTTTCTTATTTTTATTCAGTTTAGTAACATGATTTCTCAATGTGCAGTACGTTTGCCAATCGGTTGTGCAGCCAGACTTGTTTGCCGTTCCTTTGCCTCATCCCTCTCAACCATACCATTTTTCAATTTCTCATCAATCCACAGGGATTTAACAGTTTTTACAGTCATCTTCTTAATGGATGAATGCTTATTAGTAACTGGAATAAGCAATTTCATAAATGTGTGAAGTGCAGCGACTGGTTGCTACTCCGCATTACACACCACAGACCAACAAATATTATTTACATCAACAACATAGGAATCACTACAAAACGTATTGTATGACCCCTTATACGCTATATTAGGCCCAGCCTTTGGAACTTTGGTTTTCCTAGATATGGCTGCTATATGATCACTACATCAGATGGATTTGAATAATGCTTTAAAGCAAAAATTCTGCAGCATTAGTAAAGATGTGATCAATAGATGTTGATGATTTCATTCCTGTACTGTTTGTAACTAGCCTGGTAGGTTGACTGATAACCTGAACCAGGTTGCAGGCACTAGTTACAGTTTGAAGCTTTCTCTTGAGTGGGCAGGTTGATGAAAGCCAGTGAATATTTAAATCACCCAGAAAATATACCCCTCTGTTGATATCACATACATTATCAAGCATTTCACACATGCTATCCAGATACTGACTGTTAGAAAGTGGTGGTCTATAGTAGCTTCCCACAAGAATGGGCTTTAGGTGAGGCAGATGAACCTGTAGCCATATTTCTTCAACAGTATTTAACATGAGATCCTCTCTAAGCTTTACAGGAATGTGGTTCTAAATATAAACGGCAACACCTCCACCATTTACATTTCTGTATTTTCTGTAGATGTAACCTTGTATTTCTACCACTATCAGAGATTGTCAGAATATGAATGTCATCTGTTACTAGCAAATTATTGATTTCATGGACCTTGTTTCTTAAGCTACATATGTTAGCGTGGCCTATTTTTAGCACTTTTCTGGGATGCTTGATTGTTTTCATTGCTTTACTGGGAAGCTTAGTAGAAGTAGACATGCTTATGTTATTTATGTTAGTGCAGGGTGAGCTACAGATAGTGGACTTCCTACTAGGGCTCACTGCCTCAGTGCTAACAGTATAACTCTGGTTCATAGGCACATGATCACTGCATACAATAGCTGTAGGATCAGCAGAGGCATTCAGGGCAGTTAAAGGGGAATAAATTAGGGTACTTACATTGTCTTCCAACGCCCCTGGAATAATGTACATTTGCTTAAGCACTATGACAACACAGCGACACAATAGTAGGTATTAACTGAACTGGGCTTGGGTCATTGATAAGTCATTGTCTCAACGCAGCCTTATAATGCTGTGAAAGCTATAAAAATTGTCAAATGTTACACCCACAGAGCTGCAATAGTCACGTAGCCAGTTATGGAGGGCTAAAAGTCTGCTGAAACGTTCAATTACATGATTTAGGGAGGGCACAGGGCCAGATATTATGGGGCGTTTGTTGGTGTCAAGCAGAGACCCAATCACTTCTTCAAAATCCATCTTCAGCTGTTCTGAACTGCCCTTCATAATGCCATTGAGTCCCACATGAACTACAATAGACTAAATATCCTGATGCAGGTTTAAAATGTTTGGGAGCAGATTTCCTGTACACATGCTCCTGGATAGCGTAACGTTTTTGCTCCAGGGACTGAGACATTTATCACCATTGAACTGCCCAATACAACGGCCGGAGAATGGGAAGGAGAAATCCTAACCCCTCACACAATTCACAGAACCTTTCACGGCCCCACGAGAAGCAGGATACCATACGCCCGCAGCTCCCGGCGATAGGTCCAGACCTCCCACAGCAGGCAGTGCCCCGTCAGATCCAGAGAGAGGGAAAGGAGCCAACTTGACGATGAAGCTGCTGCTGGAGTCAGCTTAGTTGGAGTGAGCACAGCCGTCGCACACACAGGCAGTCCCAGCGATGAAGGTGCAGGTAGATCCGGCACCAGGGCGGCGAAGCTATTCCTCATGTCAATCTGCTCCGGTCCTCTCGCAGACACTCCAGTCCTCTTAGCAACATGCCTGTGCCTTCGTTTTCCACAACTTGTGACATGGGACCAGCGCTGATTGGAACAATCCTCTTGCTGTTCTCAGTCTACTCCACTACAAGATTGAGGAGGAGAAGCAGATGGAGACGATTTCCTTGGCAGGCAAGTTCCAGGTAGCACAGGCCATTCGCATAGGGACAGATGACAAGGCGGGGATACATCCATCAACCCGAGCGGCGTCCAGCCACAGGAGTTGAGAACAAGAAAATTCCAATTTCTGTTTTCCCCATAAGTTCGTGCAGAAATGATATTTCCTTGCTAAGGATAGCCAACCTCATTCCTGTAATCTTCTGCAAGCAAACAATTGCCGCATAAGGAAAACTGTGATAAATAAAAAAGTATATCAGTTTCACATAAGGACCAAAGGATTGACAGCCGTCCCATAGTTGGGAAGAGATCTTTGACGTACCGATCCCATGGCATAGTGTTTATGAACTGACACGCAAAACGACACCGGATTCAAAAATTAGAATCTTTCAATTTAAATTATTATATAAAATTATTGCTACCAATAGAATGTTATTTATATGGGGGGTACAATCTTCCCAGCTCTGCAGATTTTGCTGTGAAGAGACAGAATCATTAGATCATTTGTTTTGGTTCTTTCCATTTGTAGCTTGTTTTTGGACACAGGTCCAGGAATGGCTAAAGGATTGCAATATTTACCTGGAGCTAACCTTGCAGATAGCATTACTGGGTGATCTGAAAAGTCATAGTCAATCAATCAAATAATACTTTTAGCAAAAATGTTTATTTTTAATTCACAATCTGTAGAAGCAATGAGAATAGAAAGGTTCAGAACTTTTGTAAAACATCACAGTACGGTTGAAATATATATGGCAAATAGAAATCCTATATGGATGGTGTTAAGAGATAGATGGGAGGTATTGAATAGAGTTGAAGGATGGGACTAATAACAAATAACAACAAATAATAACAAAGATAGCTAATAATGTAAGCATACTGTGTCCATAATAAGTATATAGGTTGTATGTTGGGAGCTTTTGGGAAAGAGTTAGAAAGATATGGCATATAGAAGCAAACCGGATGGACATCATGAAAATGATCGGAGAGGTTGAGAGTAGAAGTTCAGGAGCAAAAAATATAATATATATATATAATTATTGTAAAATTTACTCTGTCCATAAGGTGTAGATAGTAAGTATAGACCGGAAATAGAGGCCTGGGCATTGTTGTTCACTAATTTACTCCAAGTAGGGAAAGGATGGTGGGGTTAAAAAGTAATAAAGGGGAGTATATATATAAATTTAAAAAACATGGGGGATTGGAAGTGATGCAGACAATTACATTGATAGAAGATACAATCTATCTGCAATATTAAGCTGATCCATTCCCCCAGAAAAAAAAGAAGAATAAAAAATAAATAAATAAATTGCCGCATTGAAACTCTGGATTGTCAATATTGTCCCGGACAATAGCGTAATAAACACTGCTTCTACAGCTCTGGAAACGTTTGTTAGCTATTCCAGGCGACGCGGGCTCCATTGCAACCTAGCTAGCTAGCTGGCTATTTTGTATCAGGTTTTGACACCATCACTTATGAATAAAATAAATACAAAAACTTCGGAAACAACAGGTCGAGGCGCAGGAGGTATCTGTAATATTGACATAAGCTCAGAACCACTTGTTTTGCAAACATGGTCCTGTTTTATCAATTGCTGTGCTGATCGATGGACAGTTCATTACCCCTGTCAAATGAATATGTAGTCTAAAGTTATGTTTGTATTTGTTTGCAATAAAGATGGTGATAGCAGGATGCTGTGAAGTCCATTATCCCTCTGAAGAGTATGAATTAGACTATTTGATAAGGTTTGAATCCTAAACCTGCCTACACATTGTTTGAAGTACAATAGACCAACATATCTACTGTAGTATGAAAAAAAATGTATGCACTCACTTAACTGTAAGTCGCTCTGGATAAGAGCATCTGCTAAATGACTAAAATGTAAATGTAGTAGGTCAAAGCTGTATGCTGGAAGATCTTGGTAGCGCATGGGTGAAGTTAGCCCATGATGTACTCTTAAGGAGCCTACCGTTACTCCTTAAGTATTTTCAGAGGTAGACTGGCTCTGGCAGCCAAAACCGCCAAATACTCCATCTAAACGTGAGTCGATTTCCAATTGCGATGCAGTTCTAGAAACATAAAGCCCTTTACTTTCATATCACATAATTTTTCCAAATGCAAAATACACACTTACTGTACACTGTTTTAACCGGCTTTATCACAGTTGCAGCCGATGGCATTCTTCCGTTAAACACAGGTGTTCGGCGCATCCTAGATAGCTAATTAGCACAGGTTAGCACTCTGTCTTCCGTAAACATGCGCTGTAACATATGACCGTGTGGGAACACTAACCCTATAAAGGTGTGTATCAATTTAGCCTTTAGTTTGAAAGATAAGGTCCTCGTGCGTCCAAAAACCTTATCGCAAGCGATGCGTGTTAATTTTCAGACCGAACGTCAGGGCTCTTAACAAAACTCCTTCATACAATGACTCTTATGTGTAATGTAATGGAGCTGAGAGTGATGATCAAGAGCTAGGGTGGAGTAGGCATTTTGGTGCTCATATGAATGTCCTTTCTTTTTCGGCTTCAGACCAATGCCTACTTCTCACTTAAAACATAGTTTTTTGTTTTGAATTTCCATGGTTTTTAAACTGGACGGTGATTTTCTGTTAAAGGTGTATTTTACAACATTTCCACATGAAAAGGCAGATTTTTTGGGAGCAGCCAAAAGGCTGTCATTGGCAGTGCTATTGTAACCTGTAATGCGGGCTCTGACAAATGGTCTGGACCTTAATGGCACAGGTGGTGTGCATAACTGCAAGGGTTGCTGGATTAAACCCTGGTCTGCTGGCTGTTGCCCTCTAATAGCTAAAATCAGTTTTGAACTAACTATTAAAGCTGGTTGAGAGAATGCCAAGAGTGTGAAAAGCTGTCATCAAGGCAAAGGGTGCCTACTTTGAAGAATCTCAAATATAAAATATATTTGTATTTGTTTAACACTTTCTGGGTTACTACATGATTCCATATGTGTTATTTCATAGTTTTGATGTCTTCACTATTATTCTACAATATAGAAAATAGTAGAAATTAAGAAAAACTGTTGAATGAGTAGGTGTGTCCAAACTTTTGAATGGTACTGTATGTGTAGAGTTTACCATGGATAATCAAAAGTAATCGTCTGCAGTTTTCAGAAGGTGAATAGCTCAATTGATTGTGACAGTCTTACGTTGTAAAATATGACTCAATAATTCCCATTGAAAGCAAAGTAAAAGAAAACTGTTTTACGTAATTTACTTTTGATGGTCATATATCTCAGCCATAGTGACTAAACAAAGAGATCCCCATGTACACTAGAGCCACATCTTTCTTGTGCCTTTTACAGCTTTTTTCTAGCCTAAAGCGTTGCAGAGTTATGCATCCTATACATTTGTATGCGTAGTCCCGTGTAGCTCAGTTGGTAGAGCATGGCGCTTGCAACACCAGGGTTGTGGGTTCAATTCCCACGGGGGGCAGTATGAAAAATGTATGCACTCACTAATTGGAAGTCGCTCTGGATAAGAGCGTCTGCTAAATGACTAAACTGTAAACTGAAACTGTAAACTAAATGACTAAAATGTAAATGTAATATAATCCTGGTTTGTGGGGGGCATTACCCCCCTCCTCCCAGCCCTAGAGCCATGCAACTAGAATGGCCGTGCATGACAGGGTTGTTGTCAAATATCCAACATATGGCAGAGTTGGTATTTTGGCACTGTTGATCAGCACTAATTTGAATTAAAATGTAAAGAAGACAGGAGAAGGAGCATACTGGAATTTCTTATGGATGTTTGAAACTGAGTATTTCTGATGCTAGCAAGCATGCATTTGCACACTGCAGTCAGTGCACAACTGAGTTTGGTGTTGGTTTTGAACTGATGTAGCTATCTAGCTATGTTTTGTGGGAAAATATATTACTGGCATTTGCATGTGAGCTAGCTAACGTTAGCTAGCTTCTGTGTCAAGTCAGCTGTTGTTGTTTGCTTTTAGCTAGCTAGCTAATGGGTGAATTAATTTGTGTAAAAACCATCCATAACCAAGTATAGCTAGCTGCCTTTGTTTGCCTGTTCTTTAGCTAGCTAGCTTTCAGCTGACTGGCGTTTGCTAGCTACAGAGGTTAGCTGCTGGTTAGCGACCTAGCTAATCAACATCTGTTTGCATTTGTTGATTAACCTCAGTTTGAATACCAGCATAAAGCTAGTTATCTACAGTGCATAGGTGGCAAGTCTAATGGTCACTTTATGGACGCTGTAGTCTCATTCAGAGGATGTGAGCGGAGCTGGAGTGGAGTGCCGACCTTCTCTCTCGCTCCAATTTCGCTCCGGTGCCGCTCAGTCACGATCTCAGGGCATTCTCTGCCCAGCATTTTTCATTTACTTCATCACTGTTCTTTTAATTAGGCCTATTCTGATGTATTTCTTTAGCCGATTCTATGCACACACACTGGACTCTACTCACACACTTGCTTAAACTGACACCCCAACACACATACGCACACACACTACGTACACCCACACACACATAACATGCACACACATGCATACTAACACCACATACACACTCAAACACACATACACACACACACACACACACTTTCACACTCACCACATATGCTGCTACTACTGTCTTATCTATACTGTTAACTAGTCACTTTACCCCTACCTACAGAGCCTTCAGAAAGTATTCACACCCCTTGACTTTTTCTACATTTTGTTGTGTTACAGCCTGAATTTACAATTGATTAAATTGAGATTTTGTGTCACTGGCCAACACACCATACGACATAATGTCAAAGTGAAATAATGTTTTTAGATTTGATTTTTTATTAATTTATAATTAAATCTGAAATGTCTTGTGTGAATAAGTATTCAACACTGTTGATATGGCAAACCTAAATAAGTTCAGGAGTAAGAATGTGCTTAACAAGTCACATAATACGTTGCATGGACTAAGTCTGTGTGCAATAATAGTGTTTAACATGATTTTTGAATGACTACACAATCTCTGTACCCCACACATACAATTATCTGTAAGGTCCCTCAGTCGAGCAGTGAATTTCAAACACAGATTCAACCACAAAGACCAGGGAGGTTTTCCAATGCCTTGCAAAGAAGGGCACCTATTGGTAGATGAGTAAAAAAACTAACAAAAAACAGACATTGAACATCCCTTTGAGCATTGGGAAGTTATTAATTACACTTTAGATGGTGTATCAATGCACCCAGTCACTACAAAGATACAGGTGTCCTTCCTAACTCAGTTGCCGGAGAGGAAAGAAACCGCTCAGGGATTTCACCATGAGGCCAATGGTGACTTTTAAACAGTTAGAGTTTAATGGCTGTGATAGGAGAAAACTAAAAACATTGTAGTTACTTCACAATACTAACCTAATTGACAGATTGAAAAGAAGGAAGCCTTTACAGAATAAAAATATTCCAAAACATGCATCCTGTTTGCAATGAGGCACTAAAGTAAAACTGCAAAAAATGTGGCAAAGACATTACCTTTATGTCCTGAATATAAAGCATTATGTTTGGGGCAAATCCATCACAACACATCACTGAGTACCACTCTTCTATTCTCAAGCATGGTGGTGGCTGCATCCTGTTATGGGTATGCTTGTCATCGGCAAGGACTAGGGAGTTTTTTAGGATGAAAATAAATGGAACAGAGCTAAGCACAAATTCCCCTTTCAGCAGGACAATAACCTAAAACACAAGGACAAATATACACTGGAGTTGCTTACCAAGACGACGTTGAATTTTCCTGAGTGGCCTATTTACAGTGGCGCAGTGGTCTAAGGCACTGCATCGCAGTGCTAGCTGTGCCACTAGAGATCCTGGTTCGAATCCAGGCTCTGTCGTAGCCGGCCGCGACCGGGAGACCCATGGGGCGGTGCACAATTGGCCCAGCGTCGTCCAGGGTAGGGGAGGGAATGGCCGGCATGTAGCTCAGTTGGTAGAGCATGGCGTTTGCAATGCCAGGGTTGTGGGTTCAATTCCCACGGGGGGCCAGTATGACATTTTTTTTATAAATAATGTATGCACTCACTAACTGTAAGTCGCTCTGGATAAGAGCGTCTGCTAAAATGACAAAAATGTAAAAAGAAAATTGAAGACTTGAAAATGGCTGTCTAGCACTGATCAACAACCAACTTGACAGAGCTCGAAGCATTTATAAAATAATAATGTGCAAATATTGTACAATCCAGGTGTGCAAAGCTCTTATAGACTTACCCAGAAAGATTCACAGCTGTAATCGCTGCCAAAATTGATTCTAACATGTATTGACTCAGGGGTGTGAGTACTTATGTAAATGAGATTTTTCTGTATTTAAATTTCAATAAATTAGCAAACATTTCTAAAAACACGTTTTCACTTTGTCATTACGAGGTATTGTGTGTAGATGGGTGAGACAAAAAGGCACTGTATATGTACAGTACATAGCTACCTCAATTACCTCATACCCCGGCACAACAACGCGGTACTGGTACTCGCTGTGTATAGCCATTAGATCTACTCCCTATATATAGCCATGTTATTTTGTATCATTATTTTATTCCTTATTAACTGTATTTATTCCTTGTGTCACTATTTCTATTTTTTATTTAATTATTCTTTAACACTGCATTGTTGGAAAAGGTAAGTAAGCATTTCACTGTTAGTCTACACCTGTTGTCTACAAAGCATGTGACAAAGACAAATTGATTCCCATTGAAAGTTTTTTTTTTAATACAGCAGCCACATATCATCCATAGAAAACTCCCGATGGCACATGAAGCACCATACCAGGCCCCCAGTGTCCGGTCTTGAGCGTGAAGTCATGAGCTCTGCCGGTCAGTTACTGCGTAGCAACTAGCGGTGACAAAAGCCCTGGACTACCCTAGAAAGCCTGTGTAAATAAGTATCGCCAGAACAGCCAAACAATTTTTTTTGACTGCCATTTTGGCATCAAATTATGTTTTTTATTTATTCTTTATTAATTCAGGGAAAAACCCATTGAGACAAGGGTTTCATTCCCTAGGGTGCCCTGATCACAACAATACAACAACCAAATGAAATGTAAAACAAAACGACAATCAATACAAAACACAAAATGTAAGAAAACAGTTACATTCCTCAGCTACTAGGTCCTCAATCAACACCCTAAACTGCCCGACCGGCACCAGAACATCCAACTATAATGAGTTATGCAAATTGTTCCAGCATTGGGGCACATTAAAACTGAAAGCGGATTTACCTAATTTGTTGGAGACCTGAGCAACCTCGAGTTAACCAACCCTTCAACAACGAAGTTAGGTAAGTCGGAAGCTTGTGTAGTAGAGCTTTGTAAATCAAAAGGGAATAGTGAATCGATCTACGGGACTTTAATGAGGACCAGCCAACCTTTTGATACAGGATGCAGTGAGGAGTAGTAAAAGTGTCACCTGTAATAAAGTGAAGGGTGGTATGGTAGACGGCATCCAAAGTTTTAACAGTAGTGGCTGCTGCATTCTGGTAAATTGTTTCACCATAATCAATCAACTGGCAGGAAAATTTACTATACAATCTGCTTCCTGCTTTTTAGGGAGAGGCAATATCTCTTTCTAAAAATGAAGCCAACTTTAGATCTTAGCTTTTAAACTAGCTCATCAGTATGTCTTTTAACCCCCTAAGGTCGCCCCTGCGGAAATCTACACTGAACAAAAATATAAACGCAACAATTTCAAAGATTTTACTGGGTTACAGTTCATATAAGGGAAACAGTCAATTGAAATAAATGCATTAGGCCCTAATGTATGGATGACTGGAAATACAGATATGCATCTGTTGGTCACAGATGCCTTTAAAAAAAAAGGGGGCGTGGATCAGATAACCAGTCAGTATCTGGTGTGACCACCATTTGATCAGGCTATTGATTGTGGCCTGTAGAATGTTGTCCCACTCATCTTCAATTGCAGTGCAAAGTTACACGTAGATGAGCTTCCCTAAGATGGTTTCTGACAGTTTGTACAGAAATTCTTCGGTTGTGCAAACCCACAGTTTCATCAGCTGTCCGGGTGAGACGATTCCGCAGGTGAAGAAGCCGTATGTGGAGGTCCTGGGCTGGCGTGTTTACACGTGGTCTGCGGTTGTGAGGCCAGTTGGACGTGCTGCCAAATTCTCTAAAACGAAGTTGGAGGCGGCTTATGGTAGAGAAATGAACAATTCTCTGGCAACAGCTCTGGTGGACATTCCTGCAGTCAGTATGTCATTTGCACGCTCCCTTAAAACTTGAGACATCTGTGGCATTGTGTTGTGCGACAAAACCGCTAATTCTAGAGTGGCCTTTTATTGTTCCCAGCACATGGTGCACCTGTGTAATGATCATGCTGTTTAATCAGCTTCTTAATATGCGACACCTGTCAGGTGGATGGATTATCTTGGCAAAGAAGAAATGCTCACTAACAGGGATGTAAATACATTTGTTTACCAAATTTAAGCGAAATAAGGGTTTTGTATGTATGGAACAGTTCTGGGATCTTTTATTTTAGCTCATGAAACATGGGACCAACACTTTACATGTTGCCTTTATATTTTGTTCAGTATATGTGAATTTGGTTGGGTCGCCCAAAAAGTACATATTGCAGCTTTAATGTATATGGCCTGATATCATCAGGTATGTCCTTGTTTGATAGCCTACGACATGTTGTTGAAATGTTGGAGCTTCTCGCGATAGCCTACTTCGAAACCAAATGGTACATAATCACAAAAGTAGATGGGTTTTTTGTTAAATTATCTTTTTAAACAAGAAATCAATTGAGTGAATTTGTAGCGGCAGTTATTTTTTTCTGTGAGCACTGAGCGAATTTCAGCGGCGCGGGGGAAAGGACGTGGAGTGCCAGAGCGATGTGCAAAGACCGCTTCTTGAGTGATGAGTGGGATATCCGACCGCTCAACTCCATACACATACTCTCGTCTCGTTCTTATCCAACTAATAGATATTGAGCTAGGTCGGGGAAAGACATTTTATTTTTTCCTAATGCCAATGACCCTGTTAAAAATCCAGTACGTGGTACTCGGTAACGGCCGGACGGCTCATGTGTTCTGTACGTCCAATCAAGGTGATTTGCGAACTTTCATAGACATTGGTGTCATATTGGCTTAAATATGATGGCAGGGAGATTTGAATTTAACATTGAGCTACAACCATTAGTGCTAAAGCTTTGTCTAAACTTAACTTTACACCCTCAAGCTTGCATAAACCTGCAAAAACGATCTGCTCTAAACTATGATTCATGTTTTTGTAACCCATTGTGACTGTTCTAAACCCACCAATTCCAAGTCTTTTCTTCCGAGGGTTCTTACACTCCCATTAAACTTTACAATAGTCGTTTGATGTTCTTGTACCCCTTTGTTAGTGAAAGGGGGTAGCCTAGCAACGGTTAGATATTGCACTGTGCAAATGTTTAAAAAGCATTTAGCAGAAAGATGAAGAATTGATGTGGGGATGGTTTCATGCAGAACGGGTCATGTGGTGCGGTCATTAGTGGTTGAGCCATTATTGCTACCGCTGCGCATGTTTCAAAACCCAGTGCAATCAGGGTCTTCATTAGGACACACCGTATCAGAACGTTTTGCAAATAAAAACAAGCATTTCTTATTGGAGCCCCAGGTAGGGCATCCCTGTTTCGGCCTGTTTTCTTCAGTTTCGTGCCTAGTGACTACGACCCTGGCCTAGTCAGAAGCAGCGGTGTCCACAGTTCGTCAGGTTTAACCAGTGGGTGCATGCCATTGGTTGTGTTCATAATGGCACACCCTAGCAAAAAAAAAAAAAAATGTTTTGCAACAGAAAACAAAAACAAGGAGTTCCTTAATGGACACGCACAGGTAATCCTTTACTGTTTCAGTCAGTTTTATTTCGTTTGGTGCCTAATGAACACTGCCCTGGTTGTGTCCCAATGCAGGCTGTTTGGGGACGAGTCGGACCTGCAGTTCTGGACGGTGGCGGCCCACTATCTCCAGTCATTCGCCCAGGCCCGCCACCTCAGTGTGCCCGTCCCCGAGGGCCAGACCCCAGCCGAGGGGACTCAGGCCACCCCACAGGGCCACCTGGACATCTACCACGACACCCTGTGTGAGAGCTTCTACTTCCAGGTGAGCAAAATAATGGACGAATGGTAAAACGTTTTTTTATTAGGCAGTGTGCCTTGTCTAACACAGTGGAAGCTGGTTGAGGGAGAAATTGGAGAACAGGCTCATTGTAATGGCTGGAATTAAATTAATGCGAATACCATTCAATTCCAGCCATTGCAATCAGCCCGTCCTCCAATTTAAAGTGACACCAGCCTCCACTGGTCTAACAACTCAATGTGTTGTCTCTAGGAGGGATTTCTTCTAGTTAACGTCCAAGGAGGTGGGCCTCCGTGTGTGTATGAGAGTTAATGGTATATACCATACATTCCCACGGGGGGCCAGTATGAAAAATGTATGCACTCACTAATTGTAAATCGCTCTGGATAAGAGCGTCTGCTAAATGACTAAAATGTCAATTGGATCACAAAAAAAAAAAATTGGCCGAACTGTCAACACCACAGTTCGTAATGGCCCCAGACCACATTGTAATTCCTCTAGCAGACAGTCTCCTGTGACCTCAGCCATTCTACTGTGTCAGCGGTATTGACCAGACACACACACACAGTCACACAAACCGCCGACTGCCACTCCTCTCCCTTCCTCTCTGGGCCCTTGTTTGTGGTGTGCTCTGTCATTGGCAGTATCCCTTTGCCTTTGCAGACTGAAAAGTTGGACAGAGAAGAGGTGTGCCCTGAGAAACAATCCAGCAAGGCTGGTGGCTTTTTTCAACCTTAATTATTGATTGGATCCTCTCAGTGCGTCCCAAATGGCACCCTATTCCCTTTATAATGCACAACGTTTTACCAGAGCTCTATGGGCCCTAGTCAAAAGTAGTGCACTTGCACTATATAGGGAATAAGCTGCCATTTGGGATAAAAGAGGGTGAGGATTCAGGAGGTGTCCTAAATCGTTGTTCATTGATTGGCCTGTCTCTGTTATGTCTATCGCATGACTGGTTGACATGGCAACCACTTGACAACCAGACTCAGCTGTGATCCATCCGCTTGTCAGTTGCCAAGGTGATGGAGAATACTTTTTAATCAGAGATGGTGCATTTGGGTCTTGATGAGCGTCGCATTCTTCTGTCTGTCGAATGGAGATTTCGAGCAACATACTTTTTTTAGGGCCTAGAAATATCAATCTGGGATTGTACACTGAACAAAAATATAACCGCAACATGTAAAGTGTTGGCCCATGTTTCATGAGCCGAAATAAAATATCCCAGTAAGCTTCTTTCTCTCAAATGTTGCGAACAAATTTGTTTACATCCCTGTTAGTGAGCATTCCTCATTTGCCAAGATAATCCATCCACCTGACAGGTGTGGCATATCAAGAAGCTGATTAAATAGCATGATCATTACACAGGTGCACCTTGTGCTGGGGACAATAAAAGGCCACTCGAAAATGTGCAGTTTGTATCACAACACAATGACGTGTACATTTTGTTAATTTCTCTACCATAAGCCACCTCCAACGTTGTTTTAGATAATTTGGCAGTATGTCCAACTGGCCTCACAACCGCAGACCACGTGTATGGCGTCATGTGGGCGAGCGGTTTGCTGATGTCAAAGTTGTGAACAGAGTGCCCTGTGGCACACAGATGCATATCTATATTCCCAGTCATGTGAAATACATAGATTAGGGCCTAATGAATTTCAATTGACTGATTTCCTCATATGAACTGTAGCTCTGTAAAATCTTTGAAATTGTTGCATATTGCGTTTATATTTTTGTTCAGTATCGTTCCATGTTCAAAGTGTTTTAACAATACTTATTATCATAAGTAATGGCATTGACACATAAACCAATTCAAAAAGCTTTTTCTTTTGACTGGTAGAAGATGCTCTACTCAATACATCAAATAGCCTTCTCAAATACATTAACAGTTTCACTAGAATAATCACTTCAATGCTTGAAAGCATAACAAAAAAGTCCTTTTGCACAACATTATTGTGTATTTGTCTGGACAACATCTGTGAGAGCGAGAGCCAGACCAGTTTCTCCCTTTTAAATGTGTTGAAATATGCCTCTCTGATTCCTCTATGATGCCATGCCCATGAGATGAAAGTAGACTGATGGAAGACTCCTCAGAGCACAAGTGCCGCTGGTACACTGTCCACTGTTCACTAGTGTCCAGTCATATCATTATATTCCATGGGCTGTATGGATCAAGCGTCTCAGAGTAGGAGTGCTGATCTAGGATCAGGTCCCCCACAATGTTATTCCTTGTTATCTAAAAGGCAAATCTGATCCTAGATCGGCACTCCTACGCTGAGACACTTCAGCTACATGCCCATTGCCCACCAACATCAACATGAAGAAAATATCATCTGCGTACTTACATCAGATGTGATAAGCTTTCAGTCAAAAATACATTTGTCAGAGCATTCCAACATCACAATAGCATGAGCCTAATGAGAGGACAAAGTCTATGCCTATGGAAGGCTTTTGAAGCTACTGAACAATAAGACAAATATACATGTTTGTGTGTGGTTTTATGGCCAAAGCAGTAGGTTGACACAGAATGAATCACTGAATTGAATAAAAGCTCTAGTAAACATTTGACATTTTAGTCATTTAGCAGACGCTCTTATCCAGAGCGACTTACAATTATTGCATTCATCTTAAGATAGCTAGGTGAGACGAGAAAACATCACAATCGTATCAAGTACATTTTCCCTCAAAAAGTAAAGACCGACATGCGTAACTACCTCCCCAGTGTTTAAGTAAAACTGCCTACGAATACTAACAAGCAGTGGAGGCTGGTGGGAGGTGCCACAGGACGATGGGCCTGTCATGCCAAATAATGTCCCCCGGCCAAAAAGTTTCCCCCTCTGCGTCACAATGGGATCCGATAAACTATTAGCGTCCGTTGCTATATCAACGGTGTGATGACCTTATGATTAGAATTTTGGAGATCATTACAGCATAAATTACATTATTTTCGTCATCGCTATGCAAACAAAGCAGATTTCCGCGACAATTTTGCTGTTTAAACAAGGTTTAGCTAATAAAATTAAAACATTACTTCGAACTACTTTTGGGTACATTGTTAACATTACAACATGAAATCCATGTCTTAAACATTGCTACGTTTCGGAAATGGTAAAGAAAACGTGTAATCTGCTTGACACATTAAAGTTACTTACCTTACAGATAATGAAGTCAGCTAATTTCCACTCCATTCATATGCAAATCCGTTTGATTCATACACTGGCTTGTCTGGCTGTCATGTTTTTATTTTTAACCTGCCCTTCCCTTATCTACACTGAATTAATATAATTTCAGTTGTCCTCTTATGATTCATTTTTTTCTATCTTGCATAGCTCATTAGTACATCCTTGTGGTTGAATATATATGTATCTATTGTAGGTCCTAGGGTACAACAATGAATAATGTGGAACAAATAAATACCATCAAAAGATACCTTATAACTTACAATAATGGTCACCTTGTGAAACAGCTATGAAAACCAACCTGGCAATATTTAAGATTTTAATACATAAACATTGATCTTTTTTACAACAGTTGTGTCATTAATGTATTTTCAGATGTTTTTGTACGCTCACATGGCAATCATAGACTAAAATACTGAATTCTGGTGTGTGGAATATAGAGGAGGTGGTTGCTGTGTGGGTGGGAGGTTCTGCCTGTCACTTGAATCTGGATAAGTAAAGGTTAAATAATCATCTCTCGCATCTCTTCACCTCTTTCGCTCTCCATCTCTCCATCTCGCTCTCTGTGTGTTGCAACAGAGGTTCCAGTTGGAGCGAGTCCATCTACAGGAGGTGAAGAGGTCCAGTTATGACCACACCAAGAAGTGTGCTGACCAGCTCCTCCTGCTGGGACAGGTTAGTACTACCTACTTTACTCTACTGGTACAGGCTTCTGTAGAAGTTGTCAAATGCACACACACAAATACAATATACTGTATTCTTTCTTTCAGACTAAATCTCTTTTGCACACAAACACTTGTACACACACACGCCTGAGCGCCCACAATACACATGCAGGAGAACATATACTGCATTCTGTCTTTCGTATGAATATCCCTCTCTTTCACACACAAAGCATTTACAACGCACACACTGTTCTTTTCTCCCTCGCTTACGCTCTCTCTCTCACCGCCTCTCTCCCACTCTGAGTGGAGCCTGATGGACGATGAGGGATGAGTGTTGTGTTGCTCTGTTCCTCTCGAACACCCCTGTCAGTGGAGGATGAAGACGCGCCACTAGGGCTATTACGGTGACCGTATTACAGCCACACCGGCAGTCACCAGTTATGACCGCAGTCAAATGCTACGTGACCGTTGAGTTACGTTAACTAGGCTACTCCAAAACTGCGCTCTGTATGAATGGCGCCAATCGTACCACTGACGGTCATTAGTAGCCTACCAAACTTGCTAAAGGCCCTCAAGTTGCTAATGGCCTGGTACTCAGCGCTCTATTGTCCCTCTAATCACTCTGACATCAATACAAATATAATCTAAAATCAAATCAAACACTTCATGCCATTTGAATGCATTTTAGATGCGAGGCAAAACATTAGCTGGTTGATAAGCTTAAACAGGTTAGTAACATCTGAGGTTGGAGCGAAAACCTTCAGGAGGGTAGCTCTCAAGGAACAGGGTTGGAGACCCCTGGCATTCAGAGTTTCAGCGGAATATCACCTGTCGCGCAGCGAGAGCCAGCTCCTAAAACAGCTTGTTGATGCGTGGAATGAAATGTGTTCTTATAAGCCCAGTCATTGCGCAACATTTCTATACACTATAATGGAAAACTGTAATTTATACAGTAATGTTGGGTATTATCAACAGTAAAATGCGATGTTTTACTGCAGCATACTGTAAATGATGCTGCATTATGGTACATTTTGTGGGCGGGGAAAGAATTGCTGAATTTCAAATAGTACTATAATTCCACCCCACAGAATACAGTACCGTATCTTTGGAGTGCCAAAACCTTTGACCACTAGAGGGCGCATGGTATTGTTTTTGTCACATTAACATATTTTGATGCATGCCTTGTAAGAGGCTATATTTGTTGCACCTGTGAGAGAGAATGCTGTACCAATCTGACTCCTTTGTGCTTATTGTTCCCCATCAATTTAAAATGTACAGTTTTTTCAGAAAGTATTCATACCCCTTTACTTATTCCACATTTTGTTGTGTTACAGCCTGAATTCAAAATGGTTTCAATATTTTTATTTTCTCTCCCATGTACACATAATACCCAATAGTGACAAAGTGAAAACATGTTTGTTTGAATGTTTTGCAAATGTATTGAAAATAAAATACAGAAATCTCATTTACATAAGTATTCAAACCCCAGAGTCAATACTTTGTAGAAGCACCTTTGGCAGCAATTACAGCTGTGTGTATTTCTGGGTAAGTCTCTAAGAGCTTTCTACACCTGGATTGTGCAGCAGTTGCTTATTATTATTAAAAATGATTGCTCTGTGCTTAGTTCCATTCCGTTTATGTTTTATCCTAACAAAACTCCACATTCAATTACGATTTAAAAGCATACCCATAACATGATGCAGCCACCACTATGCTTGAAAATATGGAGAGTGGTACTCAGTAATGTGTTGTGTTGGATTTGCCCCAAACATAACACTTTGTATTCAGAAGAAAAAGTTAATTGGTTTGCCACATTTTTTTTCCAGTATTACTTTAGTGTGATGTTGCAAAAAGGATGCATGCTTTGGAATATTTGTATTCTGTACAGGCTTCCTTCTTTTCAGTCTGTCAATTAGGTTAGTATTATGGAGTAACTATAATGGTGTTGATCCATACTCAGTTTTCTCCCATCACAGCCATTAACCTCTACCTGTTTTAAAGTCACCATTGGTCTCAAGGTGAAATCCCTGAGCGGTTTCCTTCCTCTCCGGCAACTGAGTTAGGAAGGACGCCTGTATCTTTGTAGTGACTGGGTAACTTCACCATGCTGAAAGGGATATTCAATGTCAGTTATTTTTTTTTACTCATCTATTAATAGGTGCCTTTCTTTGCAAGGCATTGGAAAACCTCCCCCCTGGTCTTTGTGGTTGAATCTGTGTTTGAAATTCACTGCTCGACTGAGGGACCTTACAGATAATTGTATGTGTGGGGTACAGAGATCAGGTAGTCATTCAACAATCCTGTTAAACACTTATTGCACACCGAAGTGAGTCCATGCAACTTATAATATAATAATAATAATAATATGCCATTTAGCAGACGCTTTTATCCAAAGCGACTTACAGTCATGTGTGCATACATTTTTTTGTGTGTATGGGTGGTCCCCGGGGATCGAACCCACTACCCTTGGCGTTACAAGCGCCGTGCTCTTCCAGCGGAGCACATTTTTACTCCTGAACTTCTTTAGGTTTGCCATAACAAAGGGGTTGACTAATTATTGACTTGAGACATTTCAGCTTTTCATTTTTTATGAATTTGTAAAAAGAAGAAGAAAAAAGTATTCACACCCCTTGACTTTTTCCACATTTTGTTGTGTTACAGCCTGAATTTAAAATGGATTAAATAAATATGTTTTGATACTGGCCTACACACAATACCCCATATTGTCAAAGTGGAATTATGTTTTTAGACATTTTTACAAATTAATTAAACATTTATTGAGTCTAAGTATTCAACCTGTTTGTTATGGCAAGCCTAAATAAGTTCAGGAGTAAAAATGTGCTTAACCAGTCACATAAGTTGCATGCACATTCAACCAAAAGACCAGGGAGGGTTTCCAATGTGTCGCAAAGAAGGGTACCTTAAGGTAGATAAAAAATTAAAATTAAAATAAAATATCACATTGAATTTCCCTTTGAGCATGGTGAAGTTATTAATTACACTTTGGTTGGTGTGGCAATACACCCAGTCACTACAAAGATAGTCATCCTTCCTAACTCAGTTACTGGAGAGGAAGGAACCCGCTTAGGGATTTCACCATGAGGCCAATGGTGACTTTAAAACAGGTAGAGGTTAATGGCTGTGATGGGAGAAAACTGAGGATGGATCAATAACATTGTAGTTACTCCACAATACTAACCTAATTGACAGATTGAAAAGAGTGAAGCCTGTATAGAATACAAATATTCCAAAACATGCATCCTGTTTGCAACAATGCACTGAGCAATCGGGGGAGAAGGGCCTTGGTCAGGGAGGTGAACAAGAACCCGATGGTCACTCTGACAGAGCTCCAGAGTTCCTCTGTGGAGATGGGAGAACCTTCCAGAAGGACAACCATCTCTGCAGCACTCCACCAATCAGGCCTTTATGGTAGTTGCCAGACGGAAGCCACTCCTCAGTAAAAGGCACATGACAGGCCGCTTGGAGTTTCCAAAAGGCACCTAAAGTACTCTCAGACCATGAGAAACAAGATTCTCTGGTCTGATGAAACCAAGATTGAACTCTTTGGCCTGAATGCCAAGCGTCACGTCTGGAGGAAACCTGGCACCATCCCTACGGTGAAGCATGGTGGTGGCAGCATCATGCTGCGGGGATGTTTTTCAGCGGCAGGGACTGGGAGACTAGTCAGGATTTTAGTTTTAGATGAACGGAGCAAAGTACAGATCCTTGATGAAAACCTGCTCCAGAGCGCTCAGGACCTCAGACTGGGGTGAAGGTTCACCTTCCAAAAGGACAACGACCCTAAGCACACATCCAAGAAAACCCAGGAGTTGCTTCGGGACAATTTTCTGAATGTCCTTGAGAGGCACAGCCAGTGCCTGGACTTGAACCCGATTCAACATCTCTGGAGAGACTTGAAAATAGCTGTGGAGCGACGCTCCCTATCCAACCCGACAGAGCTTGAGAGGATCTGCAGAGAAGAATGGGAGAAACTCCCCAAATACAGGTGTGCCAAGCTTGTAGCGTCATACCCAAGAAGACTTGAGGCTGTAATCGCTGCCAAAGGTACTTCAACAAAGTACTGAGTACTTATTTTATAAATTTGCTAAAATTTCTAAAAACCTATTTTTGCTTTGTCATTATGGGGTGTTGTGTGTAGATTGATGAGAAGGAAAAAAATGATTTAATCAATTTTAGAATAAGGCTGTAATGTAACAGAATGTGGAAAAAGTCAAGGGGTCTGAATACTTTCCGAATGCACTGTATGTGTGGAAGTCCGGAGATGCTAAACATGTTTATGTTAACTACTGGTCAATTACTCACTGGTCCGTAGTACATAGCCACCATTCTTTACCTGATGAAAGGTAGAAATAATTACTGTTTTTCCCTCCTCTCCTCTCATTCACTCTCTGCACCTCTTTTGTTTGTTCTTTATTTGGATCCCCATTAGCTGACGCCTTGGCCCTAGCGACCGCTAGCCTGCCTGGAGTCCACAAAATAAAGACATTACCAACATAACAGATATGCCCAAAAAACATATGAAAAACTCTGTAGATTTTGCAGTTGTCACAATGGACAGCGGTAGACATCACAGACATTGAACAAAGGACAGTGAGACGAGAGAACTCAAAGAAACACAATACTTCTGACACGATCCCTATTTCGACTTCCCTGTCTCTCTCTCACAGTCTTTATCCCCAATAAAGAAATGAAAACAGTTGCAAGGTGTGGGACTGCCTCCTTGAAAATAATAAATCATCTTAAAACATTTTTCTTCACCCGTCTTCTCTCCCTCAGACGGACCGAGCGGTGCAGTTGCTGTTGGAGACTAGTGCTGACAACCCCAGTTACTACTGTGACTCGCTGAAGGCGTGTCTGGTGACCACCATTACCTCCTCAGGGCCCTCCCAGAGCACCATCAAACTAGTGGCCACCAACATGATCGCCAACGGCAAGCTGGCAGGTAACTGGAGGCCATAGAATTAAATATAACTCAAGTTTATAGAAGGTTTATGACATCTGCCACTCTAGTATTGTATTTCTAAGATACCCTTCCACAGCACCATCAAACTGGTGGCCACAAACATGATCGCCAATGGCAAACTGGCATTGACTGGTGGCCATAAATTTAAATAGAACACTAGTTCCATTAAGTTTTATGATGTCAGTCACTCAAGTATTATACTGAATATCTACGCTGGTGGCAACAAAGATACTATTGTTTCAACTGTGGTACCATTGTGGTGTATGCCATGGGCTCTTCCTACCTTGGCTCTAATACCCAGACCAGCCTAGGCAGAGCCTCTGCCATTGCACACCCCCACCTTTAGTTCTATGGAGTAGGTTGAGTGTATTATTATGCAGTGTATTATTACCCTGGTCCCCTTCTGCAGCACAGCAGCTCACATAACAGGTAATTTAACTCCACAGCCCATAAAAAAGTCATTGTAGCGCAGCTATAGCTGCCCTTATTAATCAATCCTCAACCCACCGTCATCTCGCACACTTCATCACTCTCTCTTTCTCGCTCTCTGTCTCTCTCGCTATCTCTCCCTCTCCGTCCGTCAGAGGGGGTGCAACTGCTGTGTTTGATTGACAAGGCTGCGGACGCATGCCGATACCTGCAGACTTATGGGGAGTGGAACCGTGCTGCCTGGCTGGCTAAGGTAACTTATCTTTCACGCATCTGTCCATCATCATTATCCCATCTAAAGTATTAGGGCCAGAGAAACTCTCAAATCATATTGCTGGGCTGGAGTCAAGGAGATGGTTAGTTGCAAATCAAAGCGTACAGTAATATAAAATGTAGTTGTCAGTGGTAGTTGAGATAATGGAATGGAAATGATAACTTGATCTCTTATGTGTGCCTCTGTATGCGCGTGTGCCTGCAAACTGTGTGTCAGGTGCGTCTGAACCCGGCAGAGAGCTCAGACGTGCTAAAGCGTTGGGCAGAGCACCTCTGCTCCCCCCAGGTCAACCAGAAGTCTAAGGCCATCCTAGTGCTGCTCTCCCTGGGCTGCTTCCATAAAGTAGGAGAGATGCTCCAAAGGTAACCGTAACAGCGTCTCTCTCTCATGTTCCCCCATTATCAGCTCCTTTGGGACTTTATTCAGCTTTTTGCTCCGCTTTGTGTTATCCATCACTCTTGATCTCCAAATTGGTCCTCCTTTTTTATCTCCAACTCTTGTATGCGCACAAAAACACACTGTCACTGTCTAGCTTTGAGCATTTGCAAAGGTGTGGTGGTGCTCTCCTACCTTGCTTCTTTCTCCATGTTCAATATTGATCTGCTCTGTGTAAGTAGACCTGCTTTCTCAGTGGCAGCCTGCATTTTAATGTGCCTCCCCATGACACATCTCAAATGAAATTTGAAAGGTATGTGGCTGGCAGGTTGACGTGAAGCTTCAAGAGTAGAGACATAAAAGTTGTTATGATGCATACCTCTCTCTGAGTTCTCTCAAACCGTCTCTCCCACCCCCCTTCCTCTCTCTCTCTCTCGTATCTCTCCCTCTCTTTCTCCCATCCATCCATCTATCTGAACTGTGACAGCATGAGGTACTTTGACCGCGCGGCGCTCTTCATTGAAGCCTGTCTGAAGTACGGGGTGATGGAGGCCAACGATTCCACCAATATCCTTTCAAAGTCAAGACCTCATGAATGGCTGCGCTATTCAGGCTATTCTCAATCTTTCTCAAAAAGTTTGTCTAGTTTAATACTACAGCAGTCTGGAACAGATTGGACTTACCTTTATAGTACAGTGCACATGCTTTATTTTCTTTACCTGAAGAGTGGACACCACACTACCTTTTGTACTTTGATGTTTTATTCAGACAGAAAAGAGGGAGATTGATGAATAGGTGAAACTGTATGAAGGGTTGAGGCGGGGATTGAACCCCAGTCTCTGGGGTTGTGGTATACAGTATGTGCAGAGTGTTAACACTCAACTACAGGCTGAACACTTCACATCCTTTATCCAACCAGATCTTACTGTGCTTTGGGGGTTGTCTGGTTCTTGTGGCTAGCACACTTTATTTAGCAACTTCAATTCACTGTCCCTCTTTAAATAGCTAGGTTAGGCTACCTTCTGTCCAAGATTTTACATTTTACATTTTAGTCATTTAGCAGACGCTCTTATCCAGAGCGACTTACAGTTAGTGAATACATATATATATTTTTTTATACTGGCCCCCCGTGGGAATCGAACCCACAACCCTGCCGTTGCAAACGCCATGCTCTTATCAACTGAGCTACATCCCTGCCGGCCATTCCCTACCCTACCCTGGACGACGCTGGGCCAATTGTGCGCCGCCCATGAGTCTACCAGTCGCGGTCGGCTGCGACATAGCCTGGATTCGAACCAGGATCTCTAGTGGCACAGTTAGCACTGCGATGCAGTGCCTTAGACCACTGCGCCACTCAGGAGAATCAGAGAACTCGAGCACAGAGAACAAAAACTCAGGTTGAATAGAAAAATGTATCCTGGAGTTGCATACCCTGCTAGGTTAGCCCTATGGAGTAGTCTGCTGTGTGTCTATTCCATGAGTAATCATGAGTGAGAGGAATCGAAAGTGTTGTTGTGCAGAAGGTCCTGGGTTCGAGCCCATTGATGGATTTTATTTGATACCATTTCCAAGGGTTTTCTCCTTGACCTATGTGTCTCCACATAAGCTGATCGGGGCTGCGTTCGTGGACTACGCCCGACTGCTGCGCAACCTGGGCCTGAGGGAGAGCGCCGCGTTCTGGGCATCGCGGGCAGGGGGCGCCGGAGAGCAGCTGCTGGAGGAACTCTTCCAGGGAGAGGAGGCAGTGCCAGAGGCTGTACCCGGGGAGGAGGAAACGGAGGGCCTGGAGAACACCGAGTGACCCCAGGGTGTGGAGGAGAGGAGAACGGAGGAGTTGCCCATAAACACAGATCTACGATCAGCTAACTCTCACCCCCTCCTAATCGTAGCCATTACAGGTGAAAAATGCAAAACTGATCTTGGATCAGTGTTCTAGGGGCAATTTAGGGGGAGAGGAGAGGAGGGGAAGTGTCTGTCACTGGAGTGTGCCATGTCTGTGAATGTGTTAGTGTGTGTTCTGATTCATCACGTGATCAGTGTGCATGTTGATTTCTCCCCCCAGTGGCAGGCCAAATGGAACCACACACACTCGCACAGCTAATGCATCAATTTATGGTTATTAAGAACAGATTAAGAGATTATAATCAGTTTTTGTTGATTCATTTGAGGTTTTTAATGGTCTGTTAGCTTTATTTTGTGTGTTTCTTAATAATCTGACTTCTGTGAAAGATTCTATCAATGTTTGCTGACTGTCGATGTACTGTTTTTACCGTTTAAAGCAGTTAAAAGTGGCACAACCTTTTATCCTTCAACATTCTGTATTATGCACACCCTTTTATTTAATGCTGGTGTCAGTGCTAGCTCACAAAAATGTGACTGAATTACATTCCAAATTAATGTTTAAATGTTAGAATGTTTTATTTAAACAAATGTTTCTTTGAATGACATTAAGGTCCAGTATTTGTCCATTCCCTGTAGCTCAGACATGAAGCAAACTAATGTCCCCGACAACCCACACAGTGTATCTGACCTGGGTTCAAATACTATTTGAAATCTTTCAAATACTTTCTGTGTTTGTTTTAGTAGTATTTGAGCCCCGGTCTTCCGTGTAGTGACTGAGAGTAGGTGGTATAGAGCAGCACTATTAAGACTGACCGAAGCCTGTCATAGTTAGCACAGGGGACTGCATTCATCAACCTGTCCCCGCATTACAGATGAGACACTGAAGAGGCTCTTCCTCTAGTCTAGTTAGCCAGGCTAGTTTTCGCTAACATACACAGTATATTATACCCCTACACAGAAGAGAGGATTTGACCACTGTTAGCTATAAGGGCTTCATGGTGAATATATAAAATGTGTGCATGAATTTTTCAACGGTTGGATTGCAGATTGATCTCCAGCTTTTTCCTATGAGGACATAAGATGTCAGTTTTGTTGTGTGTTTTCTGATGTGTAAAGTATGACTGTCTCATAAAATATCTGAAAATATCATGTTTAACAAATAATTCTAGTGGACCAGAAAATACAGAATCAGCATGAAGTTGACTGCTGATCTGTCAAGTCCTCCCACATCAGGAGCATGGCATTGGCTGGTACCAGGCTCAGGACCAAAATGAGCCAATCAGCAAGTACTTCCTGTAGCCTACTGTAGGGTTGCACTCTAAAGGATCCACAAACTGCATTACACAATCTGTATCTTAAGTATCAATAGGCTAACCCAGTCTAACCACTGACTCACACCCACATACCAAAAACTGTATAGCTCTTAAACCACTCACCAAAAACTACAAATCCCATGTCAACTCTTCCGTATAGGCGGTTAGGAGAGAGGCTAAAAGATTATGTTTTCCCCCCTTGCCTCGGCTGTCTTGTTAAACGTCAAAACTATTAAATAAATTTAATTATTTAAAAATATATATAATACAAAAATATATATGTGAATGATGTACATGAACAGTAATTCTGTGTTTAGTAGCACTTGTATTATGTTTTCTTGTTCAGAAGCGATATTGTAACTAAATCCATGGGAACTCTGTGTGTCATTCTGTTGCCGAAACACGTTAGTGCTGTTCTAGTCTGGGATGACATTGACCACCCCAGGCAATGTCACTATGGTAACCCAGGCCTATTTTGGGGATTACACAGGTTAAGTTCCCACATATCCATGTAATGTAGTTTCAGTGTGTTTGGAGTTTTAGTTTCCATTATGCCTGAAATGGACTAGAGTCTAAACCAGGGTTCTTCAATTCCGGTCCTGGAGGGCCGAAACACCTCTGTTTTTCATCCTCTCCTTCTAATCAGGTGCTAATTCAGACCTGGGACACCAGGTGAGTGCAATTAACTACCAGGTAGAAATAAAAAACAGAAGTGTTTCGGCCCTCCAGGACCGGAATTGAAGAACCCTGGTCTAAACCATAGAAATATAATCTATTGTTTACTACTTCTATGTCCCAAATGATCCAATCAGTTGATATGATAGTTTATTTTGATCTAATCATGTCCTACAGTGTTGTCAAAGTAATATTGGCCCCCATTGTACCCCTAGCCTGGTCCCAGATCTATTTATGCTGTCTTGCCAATGCTGACCATAGGAGTTGGCAAGACAGCGCAAACAGACCTGGAATCAGGCTACTGTACCCCTTCCTTCTGGTGTCTTTTAAAGTAGATTTGAATTAACAACTGCTGCTTTGTTTCATTTTGTTGTTAAACTTTACAGAACAACTGTCTGCCTTTAAAGGGTTAATTTAGGTGACTTAGTCGTTAACTACATATAGAAAAAAATCTGCATTATTTTGTTTTGATTGAAGACAATTTATAATTGTGACGTGTCAAAAATTTGAAAAGCTTTGCCTTTTTTTCTTGCTGTCGTCTCATAATGTTTACACTGAGTGACCCTCACATCCGCTTTGAGCTTTATAAATCGTGTTCTGAAAAAAATACAATATATGGATAGCAATAAAAGCATTTAAAGTATCTATCTAAATTGTATCTGTATCTCTCTATCTGACCACACGAGGGCACTGTTGCACTATGAGCGAGAAAGTGAGTAGAAAAGCGAATCAAACAGCCATGGACAGACTGGAATACCGTACTTTTGGGAAATCCCTTTAGTACATTAAATCAAATGTTAATTCATTTATTTAAAAAGTCTAAGCCGTTGGGGGCGGGGGGTCTAAGCTGACATATGGAATTGTTTTAAGGAGGTCATACCATGGATCGTTTAGCTATTTGATTTTGAATTTTAGGAGCCCTTTATGTATAAAAAATATATATTTAAATTATTTGATAAATGTTTTATTTGGCCTTTACTAGCCCATAGAAATGGCCAAAAAAGACAGTCCAAAAATAAATCACAAGGAATAAGGTTTTGACGTGTCTGTCCTATAAGGGGGTTTAAATGGTCTTGGTTGATCGTCACCACTTCCCCGTAGCCCCCCCCCCCCCCCCCCCCCCCCCCCCTCCCCAACCCCCTCCCCAACCCCCACCGAACCACCTTTAGAATAAATTTCTGTTCCTCTTTCCTGGCAAGTGCAGAGCTGTTGCATCCAATCCAATGTCAAGTTTGTACTGTTGCCTTCTCTCTAGCTCTCTCACCTCAATTTATTCAGTCATGCGCATTCTGTTGCTTCTCTTTCCTGTGAAACAGAACAAAGAAAGAGAAGAGAAAAAAAACAGTCTGAAACAAAAGGTCTTTGGGCCACACAAACAGCCTGATTGTGTGCTGCTGTTTAGTGCTTTAAATAATGTGGCTGGGTATGGGTCCCATCCGTTAGACCTGGGCTTAGTCCCCAATGGTTACCTATTCCCTATCGTGCACTACTTTTGACCAGGGCACATAGAGCACTGGTCAAAAGTAGTGCACTATGTAGGGAATATGATACGATTTTGGACGCACCCCTGGAACATCAGTATGCTGTACGGCCTAACAAGGCTGGGCCTGAGCCACAGCTAACCTATTCGCTACACTGTTCCTCTGTACCTCCAGCCAGACTGGTCCTGTATTCACCCTGACATCCCCGGTACACCCTCCCACCGCCATTTCTCAGAACTGCTCAGATCCATCTCCCATCCCTCTACCACCCTGGATGTGGCCCTTCTTTCTCTTTCTTTGTCGCTTTATCTCGCTCTCTTTATCGCTTTCTTTCTTGCTTTCTCTCCCCTTCTCTCTCTCTCACTCAGCTCTAAAACAGAGAGCCAACACTTGCTCCTGCTCCACACAAAACATTGAATTGGTTTTCAGTTTTTCTTAGTTGGTTTCCTGGAAGACTTGTTTAGTTCCAGAGAATGAAAGAAAGAACATCACTCCCTTCCTCCTCTCTTCCTTCTCTCCCCTTTCACCTATTTATGCCTCTGCCTTTCTACAAAGGCTAGCAGATCCAATAGTTCAAGTCTAATTTGCTCAGCTGTATACAGTCATTGTTCCAGACACTATTGCATTTTTATTTTTTATTTAACTAGGCAAGTCAGTTAAGAACAAATTTGTATTTACAATGACGGCCTACCCCGGCCAAACCCGGAAGACGCTGGGCCAATTGTGCGCTGCCCCAATCACGGCCGGATTGTGATACAGCCTGGAATCGAACCAGGGTCTGTAGTGATGCCTCTAGCACTGAGATGCACTGAGATGCAGTGCCTTAGGCCGCTGCGCCACAGTATTTATTCAATACTCGCTCAGTCATGACCATGGTCTTCCATGACCATGGTGAATACAGTGTTACAAAGATGATTTGCCCAATGAGTCCCACTGTGACGCCGGCGCGATTTGGACTTGAACCCCTTTTAAACATTGTTTAGGGGTTCTACCATTGGACTTGTCTATTTATTCAGCATCCGTTGGTACCAACCATTAGTCTGTGTGATTAACGGGGGCTGAGCAAGAGCGGTGTTGGTGAGACAAGGGGGGATCCTGAAGGTGCCCGGGGCCGGGTCTTTTTACAAAAACATCTGTAGAGTCCGGATGGTTTGAGCTACAAACTATTAAAAGCTATCTATGAAAAGCTGACTCACAAACATGCACATGTAACATGCTTTGCTCTATGACGCCCACAAGCTACACAAGTCGTTAGAAGGTAAGGGGTTTGTCTACATAGAAGATTATAGGAAATCCAAGGACATATATGACCGACCGGCTCGAATCGGTCTTATGTAGCAACATTTGAATTATTATTTAATTTTTTACATTGGATAAAAGTAGAGACTCAGAGCTAGAAAGTGGTATATCATACACTACAGTTGAGGAACAATGGGAAAGTAATTCTGCTTAGAAAGTTGATAAAGTTGTAACCCCACTTTTGAGAAAATGGCCTTAAATGTTTTGGTACACCTACTGGAGCGTTCTTCTTTGTCTACACCCATTCAGCATCGTTCACACCCTCTTAAGCTATAGCCCCGCCTGTAAACTCAGAGCGTTGTCAGATTGTCTGTTCGTAAATTCAGAGCGTTTCTCTCTCGGAGCGTTCAGAGCACACACTGGACGCTCTGGCCGAGGAGTAAGGTTGATCCGAGCATTCTGTCCTAACAACAACAACAGTCAAGCACCCAATCTAACGTTGGCTAGCTTGCTAGCTACTTCCAGACACAAATGAGAGAACAGCTCATTTT